CAGTTTGAATACTGTGAACAGGTTTGGTCATCTTACCTATTAAGATATTGACCTACTAAAAGGTTAGGAGAGGGCTAGTAGAATGATTCAGGGAATGGATTATCTTTTAACAATAAGTAAGGTTCTCTTAACTTGTACTTCCTTTTGAGAAAGGAAGTATAAGAACTAATTTTATTAGAGCCTACAAGATTATCCTAGGGGTAGTTAGGATACATACCTCTGATTTCTTTTGTGCTGTGTTCTGAAGGTATTATGATGAGAGGACACAAGTTTAAGACTTGGAAAAGACAGGCTAGGCTCCAATTATGAGAGTTTTATTTTTCTACCAAGATGACTGGATTGAGATTCTTTCAGCTGTAATGGGGTGAACACTTTACAAGTAGAGCTTAAATTTGAAATTGGTAATTTCATTAAAAATACAGGGTGGGTAACTTTTTACTTTTTATCAAGGATGGATGAGCAGGAACAGTCATGAAGGACCAAATGGTACCTAATTGTCCATATCTTATATAAACAAACAAAACAAAAAAAACTATGCACATTTGTTCTTCCATTTCATGTTTTTAAGTGGAATCTGCTTTTCATTAATAAAAATAGTGTTGGCTTCTTATGCTGTACTTAATATGTTTACCACTTCCTTCAAATTTATATTTCGATGTAGGGTTAGCTATTTTACTTTTCTCTTCTTAAAAATAATTTAGTGATCACGGAAGTCCAACACTGGAACAAGCTATCTTGATGGGCTGTGATAGTTATAGAGAAACCAGAAGCTCTTCACCAACTGACTCTGACACTAGTGGAATTAGCAGTGTTTCAGATCTAAGCAATCTTTCTGATCTTATGGTAAAATTATTTAATTTCTTATTTTTCTCTCTATATTATTCTTGTGTATTAATATTCATCTAATAGTTTAATTATAAATCAGTTGTCTTAGTATTGGATTAGTATTTCAGTTTTCAAATTCTTATTGTAATTTGCTGTTTGTATGAAACTAGATTAAAGAATCCTTTAATTAATTGATTTTTTTTTCTTTAACAGAGTAGTCTCAGTCTTGGAGCTCCAATTAGCAATTCAAACTCACTGGGGGCAGTTGGCTACCAAAATACTACCAGCAACATACTAGTAAATAAATTTGAAGAGCCTCCTCTTCTCTCTTCACCTTTCTTCTCTGATCGCGTATGGGCAAATGTGAATTCTCTCTCTAGCTCTAGGGAAGTGGATACAGTTGAACATGCAGCTAAAATGTATAGAAACTCTGCATGTGTGTATGATTTTTCATTTTATAATAATGATAATATCTAGGCTCTTCATAATATTAAAATAATTTATTGGATGGATATAAAATAAGTTTGAACCTATTGGTTGCATATTGGCTAAAGTTGTTTTAAATATAAAATGTCATATAATGAAATAAGTATCTTCAATACTATTAATTACATATAAAACAATAATGTACTTAACATAGAATAGCTTCCAAGTGTACTGGGGATAATTCAAATGCTTATGTTAAATGAGCCAGCTAACATAAATTAATAAAATTGAATTGGGTATATGCGTGCCCATGCTTAGTATTGCTGGTACACAAAAATCATAATCATTGGTTAAAACTTCCTATTATGTTTACTTAGTTGTCAAGGAGATGCACTGATGCAACATCACCAAGTTTTGTCCAATCAGAACTTTTGGCTACCACTCTATAATAACCCACATGTTTTAACTACAGCACATTTCAGTTTTTAATCCCAAATTAAAGTATGCTTCTTCGGCTCAGTAGGCTAACAAAGCCAAAACCGGGAAGACAGTCCAAAAAGAAGACCCCCCCCCCAAAAAAAATAAATAAATAAAATTCACTGCCTTTGCCATCACAATTAGTAATTTGCAGGATCATACAATTGACCAAGTAGAAATATGTCTTTGAGTATTAGTTTTTTGGTATGTTTCAGTCTATAAGGGTTTATCAAGAAGAACATTTGAATGTAACTTCAAAATATGCAGAAGTCAAAATGCTAATCAAGCAACACTTAAAGAAGATGACCAAATATACAAAAAAAATTAATCAGTATTTCCTGTCATATGACTAGCATTCAGTTGCTTATTTTTTTTCGTCTCAATTCCCCAAGCTAGCTTTACAACTTGTAGTAACAGAATTTAGAATATTTTGAAAATGCTTGTACATCCTTAAAAATCTGTTTTGAAGGTTGGATAAAGTACTATCTTTTTATACAAATTTTCTGTCTGAAAATATATCTACATCAGTTTAGTGATTTAAAATTTCTTTCACAGTTGTTCAAACAACTATATTTTGCTTAATAGAACAACAATACAATTCCTTGGTGCTCATTGATAAGCCCGAGTGCTTATTATGTTAAACTTTGTGGTTTTGATTCTCACAGTAGAGGAAGTGTAGAGAGCCCATTGTGGAACTTTATGCTAAAATAAATATAAGTGGGCTCTTGAATTTTGATAGTTTGTGTGACCCTAGTTTTTAAACAAAATATTAAGTACTTCGATAATGTTTTCAGTTTGTTGTGTCAGAAGTATTTCTGATATTCTTATCAAATTTCTTACAATAGTGATTCAAACTGGATCTTTGTAATGAAGCTTATTAGTTATTAATATTAACTTCTGATCAGAGCAAGCTACCTGCTTGGAGTGAAACTCAAAATCAACCCATAATGACTATAGCTAATTAAATCCACTTTTCTTATAAAGATGATAACAATAATTTCATCAGTTGAGTACCGTTGCTGTTAACAATAGGTTCGGCCATAAACCCAGTAATATCTCCTTAAGGATTGGCCAGCTTATGAATATAGATTAGTCCTAAATGTGTATATTAAGCTAACAGTGCAAAACAATATCTATGATAAAAGTACACTGTTAAAAATAATAACATTTTAAACATTATATCCAATACTATCAATTAAAATAACAATAAGGCATACCTTTTTTTACAGAATGCACAAACACAAAATATTGGCTTCAAGCACTTTCATAGATTTAGTTCAGTTTCCATAACCCTCTCTAAAAATGTCTCATAACCAATGAAAACCCATTAAACAGCTCTGACACTAACTCTAGAGTAGCCCGACATCTGAGATAAATTACTATGACACATGTTACTGTTAATATGTGGAGTCAAGTAGCAGGATGTTACAAAGAGTACAGCCTAAAACTAATGTTTATGAACATATAATAAGTGATAAATTAAACAACTACCTGAATTGTACAATAAATAGCTAGAATGTCAGTGCTGTAATTAAAATATACTTGTGTTAGATGTAACACAAAGAAAACAATTGTTAAACATACTATCAAGTGTGTCTAACACAACTACTCCCACTTTAATTAACCTGTTATTCAACAAAACAGACAGAGCAGGTAGCAGGAAGTAATAAAGAAAGTTAACTCTTCTGTAAAAATTGGAAAGGTATGATAATTAGGAGGGTGAAGATAGGAAAATTAATCAATATTTTATTGATGAAATGTAATTTGTACATTTTGTTGTAAAATGTGCAACTGCTGGTCTAAATTGGTAGTACAGAATATATACAGGTAGGAAAAGATTACCTTAACATTTATTTGCATTTGTTCTAAAACCAACCCAACATTTTTTACAAAATTGAGGAAATAAAGTGTTTACCTTCTTGCACTAAATATTAATGGGTATAACTGAATTTTCAATTCTTCCCCACCCCAGTTTATGTTTTCAAACCAGAAAACTTTAAATTTTGCTTGAGAAATTACAGTGGTAGGTATTTTTGTGTAAGTAAGGGACTGATGTGAAAAGTATAATTGTAGTGTGTGTGTGTGTGTGCTTCAATTTGCTGTAGATGACAGTACTACATTTTGTTCTGACTGGATTTTCAAACAAAACATGAAATGCTGTAATAGTAATTGTGAAGTATTAATGAGTTGTTTTTTTTGTACTCATCTAGCAAACGTAACTTTTATTGCAGTGTTTAGTCAAGCTACCTGCACATGGAGTGGTCAGCTTCCTCCACGAATCTACAAAAATCCTGTTTATTCTTGTAAAGTATTTTTGGGTGGTGTACCATGGGATATTACAGAAGGTAAAAGGTCTTTCTCCTGATATTATGTTCTTAGATTTTTATGTGGCTTGTCAAAGGAATGTCATTCATCAGAGATAATTATTTTTCATCTACATAAATGAACATTTTATGAAAATGTGAAAAAGAATTACATATTTGTTTGACCAAAAAATTACTTGCAGCCAGCTACAGTATCAAGGTAAACTACAAACAACTAATCTTGCACAGAAAAACTGGAATCTACATTTACATTTAGGTTAAGATGTGAGAGGTCTAAGAGAGCATATTTAAGGATTTTTGTTTTAAGTACCAGAAAATGTTTAACTTTTTTTTCTTTAATTATATTGTATTAAACACTTTAAAACATAACACTGCAATAGACCATCTCAAGACTTCTCTCATATTGACTGAAATGAATATTTTCTACATCTTTATATCCATGAGTTGAATCCTATGTGCACAGGTAGGGGTCAAAGTGTGCATGCCCCAACCTTGCACAGAGTGCCATTCAACATGGTATTATGAATTTGGTGTCAGTTATGAACTTTTCATGTTACCCTAATTTGTTCATTTCACAACTGTTAGGGTACAGAAAATGCCACACATTGTACAGGAATACTGAAAAAAAATTTAGATGTGTATTTAGGAGGCTATTCAAATGGAATTTATGCAGTTTGCAAACTATAAAATGGACAAAAGTGTTTTTAATCTTTACAAGAACATCACCTACCACTTCAATCTGTCAGATTTTATTTGTGTGTACGACAAACTTGTACCATTGAATAAAACCTTGCCACATTTTGTGAAGATGCACGTTGTAAATTCAGAATTATGTCAACATTACTTCTCTAATACAGGATTGATCCATTGTACCAACCATATACATATTCAGTGAGGTTTGCTAATTTCTTATTAAAAGTTCTAATTGCACACCATAAACACAGTATCTATCAAGATGAAAACCATACTTATTGTCCAAAGGTCATAAGCATAAGGTACCTAAGTTTCATGGGATTAACTTGAATGTTCATTTTAGTTAAATAATAATAATATTGAGATTTTAAAAACAAAAAAACCTATGATTAATGTAGATCACCACACAAGGCTAATCAAGGTTATGTACTTTTTTTTTTTTTTTTTAAGCACAAAGGATGGAATAGTGTCAGTATATAAGCATCTGATAAAAGTTTGCAGAAACCTGTGTTTTTAACCTATCAGTCTATCACTAAAACAAATTTTCTGTTTTCATCAGTTTTTTAAAGCTTTTGAATTTTGAAGTAATAAATCTTATACACATTACCTGTCAATATTAAATAGTTATCATTATCAAACTTATAGCCTTTTTATTTATTTTATTTATTCAGCTGGACTTGCTGAAGCTTTTGCACCTTTTGGATCCATCAAAATTCAGTGGCCTGGCAAAGATAACAAAAATCAAATGTATCCACCAAAAGCTGGTTATGTATACATAATTTTCGACTCTGAAAAATGTGTCAAGTTGCTTCTGCAAGCTTGCACCCATGACTTCAATAATGGTGGGAACTGGTACTTTAAGATTTCATCCCGTAGAATGAGATGCAAAGAGGTAATAGTTATTACTTCAAAATAGTTTGCACCCATATTAGGGGTGTATATGTGAATTTTTATCTTTTATAAATGTTTATTGTATAAAATATAGTCATACAGCTAAAAAGTGTAATTAATTTTTTAGTTTTGAATTTTGCGCAAAGCTACACAAGGGCTATCTGTGCTAGCCATCCCTAATTTAGCAGTGTAAGACTAAGAGGGAAGACAGCTAGTCATTACCACCCACTGCCAACTCTTGGGCTTCTCTTTTACCAATGAATAGTGGAATTGACTGTCACATTATAATTCCCCCATGGCTAAAAAGGGGCGAGCATGTTTGTTGGGATGGGGATTCAAACCCGCGACCCTCAGATTGCGAGTTGAGCTCCCTAATTTTTTAGTTCTGATAATTATGATAAACTCAAACTAATCATATTTCAATCAAAAGTCGCATGCATGCTTTGTGTGTGTGTGATTAAAAGTTCATTCTTGAATTAATTATATTTGGGAAAAGCCTAATTCAGTTTTTTACTTTGTGGTAATTGTTGATATTTGCAACTTATCCTTCCCACTAAAGTACAAATAAATCTAAAATTGTAGTACTTCACAGGATGAACATATACTAGACAGTTCCAGTATTTCGTGTTGTATTTTTATAGTACCTTTCAGAAATCTTCTGTAAATATAAATTGATAAATATTTTTACAGCTGTAACTTTTGTTTTAAATCTTGTTTGAAGAGATTACCTAGTAAACTTGTAGAGTATTTTAGTGTAGATAGTCCAGTAGTAAGCAGCTTTGCACAAAAATCAAAACAAACTAAGAGTAGTCATCAATACTGAGAAAAAGCTAACCTCTGTAATAACTGAAATTTCTAGATAGTAAAACGTTTGGTGAATTTATGGGAGGACTTGACACATATCTTTGTAAAATGGGAATATATATTTTGGGTAAATTCCATAAGCTTCAAATGACTGAAATTTCCATGGTAATAATAGTAATAATCATTTATAGAACAGTTGCTTCAAAGGTAGAAGGAAATTATTTTTTGTCTAATGTTTATTATTAGCAATTGATTTCTGTGAAGTTTTATGAAGTATATTTATTTAATGCAAATGCTAATTTCTACTTCTCACTTATAGAGCTGCGTGATTTTAGTTGATTATCTATGAGCAGCAATTACATTAGTGTCACATAAACTAATTGATAAATTAGTGTTTCTAATTATTAAAGTTCTACATTATTCTGATAACTAATTGATAAAAAATAATGAATAAATATATTTGAAAAAAAAAATAATCAACCAATTGAAACTAGGGCTTCCAATTATTACCATTTTCAATTATTCAAAATATCACTATTATGTTTGTTAAGCACAAAGCTACATAATGGGCTATCTGTGCTCCACCCAATTTTTTTATTTTAAGTTTGTTCAGCTTTAGTGATTTGAGGGTTTTGGGTTAGATATTAGATACCAAACTTACTTGCCCTGGCTTTGTTATGGGAAAGCTGCCACGATCAGTAATTTTGAACTGCTTACTAGAAGGAAGGCAAACTGGCTGGAAGAATCAGCCACCAAAGTTTTCTTTTGCTTGTACTTACCATAGTTTGAAGAGCATTGTACTGATTGATTACTCAAATATATTCTGTTAATTAGGTTGTTGATTAATCGGTTTACGAATATCATTAATTGCCCAGCTATATTTACTTGTGTTACTGACCCTGTATTTGGAATTCGTATCAAATTATGCATTAGTTTCTCATTATGAGGACAGGGTTTTTCTTAAAAAAAAAACAAACAAACCAGATTTGGAATGTTTTACAATGTTCATAAGTTGTGAAGACTATAAAAGTGTTTGATAAGATGATTGATTGATAATTTGTGATTTGAATTTAATGAGGCTTGGAGAATCTGCATTGTCTTTATAAAGAAAGCATAGTTAGTTAGGCTACTGTTAGATGCATATATTTTTTAATTTGCTCGCTAAATTACTGTTAAGATGAGATGCTTTATAGCTATAATTGGATTTATGATTACTTTGAAAAATCTTGTTTATAATACTTGGCTGAAGTGAAATTTAAGAATTTGTTTCGTTGAATTGTAGTATTTGTAATTGTGAGTTGCTAGTGTTTCTGTATCTTTTGTTTGAACTGTGAAGTGGTATTTCTCTAAATGGAACTTCACCATTAATTCTAAAACGAATTGAGTTGAAATCTCCATTTATTTATATTTAAGGGAAAATGGTATTTCATAAATTGAGTTGAAATCTCTGTTTATTTATATTTAAGGGAAAATGGTATTTCATAAAGATTTATCCATATTTTGTGTACCACAATCTGTGGAGTAATAGATTCTGATTTGTCAAAGTTTACATGCATGTCAACTGCATCTTAAAAACAAATATCAAACTTAATGCCAATGATGTATTAACATCTGATGAATTTGGTCTGCATACAGTCAATGGTAGTTTAGAGCATAGTTCACCATAACAAATTTTTTTTTCATAGTTAGGGATATAGGTATGTTTATTAACATAATTCCAAATGATATTTGAAACTGGATGAAATAGCTGTTATAACATTAATAAAAAAATACCTTCTCCCACAGACTGTCTTGTATATTTTAGGTTCAAGTCATCCCTTGGGTGATTGGTGATAGTAACTATGTGCGGTGTCCATCACAGCGACTGGATCCCAGTAGAACAATTTTTGTAGGTGCTCTACATGGAATGTTAAATGCTGAGGGTTTAGCACACATTATGAATGATCTTTTTGGTGGTGTTGTGTACGCTGGAATTGACACTGATAAGTACAAGTATCCCATAGGTGAGTTGTTTTTTCTTTTTTATTACAAGCCCTTAAAACTACATACACAACTTCTTTACCTACTGGTATAATGATATTATCACAGTAAGACTGTTTTTCATTACTTAACCAGAAACTGGCTTGATTAACAGAAATGAAAACAAAACAAAATAACCTACATATATAAGATTGTTTGTTACTAATCTAGAAAAAAAGAAAGAAACTTCTTTATGTTATAAATTTATGGAGAGGCAAATATTTTGTTTCAGACTCATAACTACAACTGTTAGTAGGATGAGAGTAGGTTTGTGCAATCCTTAACTTTAATCAGATAGTATTCAAAGGAATTTAGTTCTGTGAACATTTCATTGTCAACAAAACTCTAAGCAAGTGTTACTGGTCTTACAATAATGCAATTTATGTATGTTAGTTATTAATGGATCTCGATTCATCAGTTTAGCATTCTATGTAAAGTGTAATTCATGTAGAACCTAGTACTGTCATTTGTATTTGATAGAATATTTTTTTGGCTCATCTTTTAACTTTGTCAGCAATTCTTCTCAGTTTCATTGCAACTTGTAGTTCTGTTACCCCTCCCATGTCTCTTTAGATAAATGTCTGTTTATTTTTTTCATGGTCAGTAAACCATATGATCACCCAAGTGTGTGTATGTGTGTCTCTCTCTCTCTCTCTCGCGCGCGCACGCACACACACACACACACACACACACACACACACACACACACACACACACACACACACACACACACACACACACACACACACACACACACACACACACACACACACCACTATACTACTACGTATCGTACTCGTACTACTACTTACGTACGAAGTACGTAGTACGAAGTAA